TTACCATTTTGTATTTGTGATATAACAATCCTAGAAGCTAGAACTGTTGTCACTCATATAATAAGCTTATCCTGTCTCCTTGGGAAACAGATTTTATGGAGGCTGTTTGTTCTCTCGATACGGTTTTAGGATTGAAAGTAAGAAAATGGATTTAGGATGAAAAAGCTAGAACCTCTCTACACTGGTTTTATTGGGAAATGTTTTGTTTGTCCCAAGTAGCAGTGACTGTCTAACTAGACCCACAAGCATGAAAAGCAGCCCAAACATTAACATGTCCCAAACATGAAAATGATTGGAAAGAAGGAAGTAGAAGAAGCAATAAATACTGCCTCGACTTTCTTGGGGCTTGAGGCCTCATCAGTTGCTATGATCAGTGCCCTCCAGAAGCTTGTTTGCTCCCCCAGTTTTAAGGATTGAGAAATACCACATTGCACTTGATGTTTTGACCCAGAATCCTAGTGTTCCTGGTAATGCCACTAAGATTGGTAGCCAAGGTACACATTCCTTCTCCTCTGGACTTGACCTCACTTGTTAGTCTACACTGTGCTAAGTCTTTATTCCTCCCTTTAGCCAACCTCTGTCTCTTGGAGTTTTCTGAGAATATTGTCCTCTGTCCTCTTTTTATGTGGAGTTCTATCCTCTTTATATCTTGAGACTTTTGACACCAGATGTAGATATTTCTCTGGTGTTGGAAAGAAAAATTCCTTTTCTGTACCTCATGCCTACCTGATAAAAAATGTCTAGTGGGCTACTTTTCTTTGAGGCTGGCTTTCTCTGGAGCATTGTTCAGAACAGCTCTGTTGTTGGGTTTCTAGATTCTCTTCCCCTTCTCCACAAATATTGGTCTTATATATTCTTGCCAATTTTTGTGGCATCTGCCACATAAAAAGCAAGGACCCTGAACCCTGATATGGATAAATACTACCTTTTCAAATTCTGAAAGGCTGTTACTACTCTTGACCTCTGTATTCTGTGCTGCTCCACATAGCTTTAAAAGGTGGGCTTTTGTGAAGACCACTTTCAAACAAGGGAGCATTGAAACCAGATTTGGATACTGCCAGAATAGATAGTTTTGAAACAAGTCAAGGATGTGGTATGTCCACTCTACATTTTCATTGGCAGTTGTACCCTTAAAACTCTTTTGGTAGATGAGGATTGTCAGGGAGGAGAAATGAAGAAGCTATATTAATTTCTGGTGAGTAAGACTTGGGGAATGTTGGGCAATGACAAAAGAAATAAATGTCGGTTAGAATGATGTTTCCAGTTGTTCATTGACTCCGACCTGCTACTTGACTCCTTGCTGACACAGTATATGGGGGTGAGAAAATGGCTAGACGTGGGAGTGGGTTTGAAAGAAGTACCAAATGCGGGGGTTGGTAGTTTTTTATCCCCTGAAATCTGCTGGTTAAAATGAGTAATTTGTTTGAGATTAAAGTGAATTAATATAGGAAACTTGTCCAGTCTCATCCAGGGCTCTTGCAGCCACTTTAAAAATTTTTCCTTCCTGGGGCACCCGGGTGGCTTAAGTCAGTTAAGCATCTGACTTCAGCTCAGGTCATGATCTCAGGGTCCTGGGATTGAGCCGGGGCATTTGGCTCCTTGCTCGGCGGGGAGTCCACTTGTTCCTCTGCCCCTCCCCCTGCTCAGGCTCTCTCTCAAATAAATAAATATAATCTTAAAAAAATTTTTTTTCCTTCCTGAGGCCAGGTCTCAGCAGGACTCAGTAGAGAGTATGGTAATCATACTAGAGTTTTTAAATTTTTAAACCAAATTCATTGGAATAATATAAATTTGAAAATATCGAGTATAGCCAGGTGGTGGAGAATGTGAACTCTCATGCACAGTTTGGAACGTAAATTGTTACAATCACTTTGGAAATGATTTGGGAGTATCTAGTCAAGCTCAAAATATGCTCTAAGACTTAGCAGTTTTACTCCTGGGTACATACAGAGAAAAATCCTCTTGCCCAGGTTTACGAGGAGACATAAAGAAAGATATCATGGTATCGTTTACAACGCGTAGCAGAGACTACTAGCTGTCCACCAAAATCTCTCACCTTGCAGAGTTACAGGATTATAGGACAAATGATTAAACTATGTTTCCCAGCCCTCTAGCCCCCTGCCCCTGTAGTGAAGGGGTAGCCAACTAACTGCTCAGCAGAAGAATGTGAGTGGAAGTGACGTGTGTCACATCCAGGCTAGAACTTTTAAGAAAGTGAATGTTAGCTCTATGCTTTCTTTCCCCTTCCTCAGGCCAGATGCAGATAATAGAGTGGCTTTAGGGGGTGGCAGAGCACAAAATGGAAAATAGTTGACGCGTTGACTCATCCCATGAAGGACTAATTGCCAACCAGGAACATCTGTCTGAGACTGCTGCAGATAAAAAAATACCTGTTATTTGAGGCATTATACATTCTTGGGTTTGTTAGCCTACTCTAATACTAGTCGAATTGTCCGTCAGGAGAAGGGATAGAATCATACAGTGGAATACTGTACGCTACAAAATTAACTAGGGCTTCTTGTATCATGAATACATCTCAAAAATAATGTCTGGGAAAAGCAAGTTACAGTATATGTGAAGTGTGCCATTTATATAAGGTTTAAAAAGAAGCAAAAACAATGCTCTATATTGTTTATGGATATGTAAAAAATATTCTATGCTATATTATATATATATATTTGTATTTGGTATATTTGTAGTTTAATATCATATATACATATGTATATATGGCATGAAAACATGCACAGGAATGATAAACACCAAATTTAGGACAGTGCTTCTGGGATTCAGAGGGACTACAAGTGAATTTGTAAGTTCTTATTTCTTAAGGTGGATAGTGAGTTTGTTCTGGTCTTCTGTATTGTGTGTCTGAAATACTTCATTTTAAAAATCAGTTCTCACCAATTATTCTGCTCATCTCCTTAAAAGGGAACATTTTAGAAATTTTACTTGTACTTCATTCTTAACCTTTCATTTTCCCTTCACCCTTTAGTCTTCTCTTCTATTTACTTCTATTTCAGCCACCCCAGTCTGAACCATCATCACCTCTTGGCTAGACCATAATACTTTCCTGATTGTTTCCTTCTGATTTTTACTGGCTTGAATACACGCCACGTAACAGCTGTATTGAGTTTTTAAAATTGTAAATCAGACCTCATTCACCTGCTAAAAGCCTGCTGGTTTCCCAGTGCACTTAGTCACTACCTCTTTGTCCTGTAAAGCCTTCTGCTCCCACTGCTAACCCATTTAGCCTCCTCTCCCTCTACTCCACCTCTGTTCTCTGACCATTCCCCAATACACTTTAGCTACGTTTACCTTTTAGTTCCTGGAACCTACTAAAGCCTAGGACCTTTACCTTCACTGTTCCCATTGCCCAGAACGGCTTCTTCCCTGGTTTTTCAAGGTAGACTTCATTGTATCATTTAGGTCTTAACCTAAATTTCAACTTGGATGTCTTTTCCATCGAAAGGCACTTTCTGTAACATCACCCTGTTTAATTTTCTTCATAGCAAAGCAGATTAAAAGTAGGTTGAGATACTAGCTATTGCTCACTTGCAGGTATGGGTTTCAAAGTACCTTTATCAGATGATTCACCCTCAAAAGTCTTCAAGCCCTTGAGGCCTCACTCTGAAAGGAATAGACATAATGCAATACACCAGATTCATTATCTGGGATGATAGGAATTAAAGATAAATGTATGGGACGGAAGTTATCTACTCCCCAGTTAGATAATTGGGACAGCAAAGGCAGAAGGGAAATTCACAGCAGAATAATAAGATTCTAAATCCCTCCTACTTTCCAGTTCCTCATCAGCCTTAGTATGTATTTTCCTATGCTTTTTTGTACTTCTGCATCCACAGAGAATAGGGCTTCAAATTTGTCTTGGTTACCATGTTTTTCAAGTTCAGTCTTTCTGTATTTTCAGCTCAAGAACCAAAGTATTCAGGTTAAGGTACCTGCATACTATCTAAAATTCTACTTTCTGTATTAAAATTGCAGTTTTATTATGTGCACACTAATATGAGTAAGACATGCAGAAGCAATAGTAAGAGAGAAGAGTGATGGAGTAGAAAAGACCCTGGAGAAAACTCAACAGATACATTATAATCTAAGGTTTTTATTTTTAATAACAAACTACACATTTAACAAAAACATTGTTAAAGCTAGAAGGCATTGAGGGAGAAAAAAATTTTCACTCCACAATTTTAAAGGAATTCATTTTACATAGGAATAAAACTGAAAATTCAGGAAAATTATTTTGAAGTTTTTCATCACTGACAATTTCTGGAAAACATAAAGTTGATTTTATTTTCCCATAGAGGAGTGATGTTAAAATATGGGATTATATTCCTGTACTAGGATTCAGCATGCAAATAACTAGTCCAGCCATCAGTAGGGTCATTAAGTGCAAAAAAATTTTTTAAAACCTACCCTAAAAGTCTATACTAATTAAAAATATTATTCCCAGTGCTTCTAAATAAACATAAGGCACATATTGATTACAAAAGGCATTTCATGTACTATCAAGTGCACACATAGTAAGAAAATGTAATAAGTGACCTAAAACTGAAGTACTTATTATATCTAACATTAACTAATCTTACTTGTTGTCTTAGAATTTAGAATGTTGTTAGGAAAATAGATGGCACAAGACTCTTTAAAGTTGTCCCAATATTTTAAAACTTTTTTCATATGTTTTCCTGAAATAAGCAGTGTCCTCATTAATGCTAGAGGTATTTCTTCACAGACAAGATTTTCAAAAGTAAGAGTTGACCTAACAGACATCCCCTTTATCTGCTCTTCCCTTCTCAATTGACTCAAAGCTAAAATTGTAGGGGCTGAGCATCAGACAAAAGGTCATTCTGCCCAGTGCTCCGCCCCCCTCCTCCAGCCTATAGCTCTTACTGAACCTGCCTTTTAGTTAGATTACTCTTTCACTTGACAAAACTAGAGCAGGAACCACCTGGTCACTGGTGCAGACCTGGAAAAGAGCTGAAAAGCACTTTGCCTTCTTTGTGTGCAGCTGACCAAGAGACATGAGGATAACTGATTGTTTACAGAGCAGAAGGCACTATATAAAGTCAATCTGAAATGCTAGTCTTAGAAATCTAACTTAGCTAGATGAAATAAGTCACACAACTGTTTGCCTTTCACTACCTGAAGGTGCTTTTCTTGAGCTAGTTTAATGTACTGGTGTTTGGGAAATGGTATTAGGTTATCTGGAGATTTAAGGAACATCCTGTATTAACAAGATCTAATTAAGGAAAAACCTACTTAAGGGAAGCTGGTGGCACAAATGTCTAGCATACCGCTGGAAAAACGCACCTAATCTTTCACACTGACACATCATGATGGATGTTTTACCATAGCAGTCTGAGGTCCCAAAGCCTTCCTAACCAGGTGTATGCAGCACATAAGAATACTCCAGTCCTTATTGAATCAGTGTTATTTTAGGAATTGCTTTGGATTAATCCTTGGTTTGGTACTCAGGGGAGGTGTTATTGTGGCCTTTGGAGCATCCTGTCTTGGGCACCAATTATGCCTTCTTTGCAATCGTTGCCTCCCCCGGATTAAGCACTGCACATACCACTGTTCCTGCTGCAGCTGCTGCTTCTGATTTTTTAACTGGCTTTCAATAGCCTGCAACTCCTGGCATTGCTGAATTTGCTGCAGTAATTTCTTCCCTAACTCCCAGTTCTCTCTCCTGATGCTGCGGTAGAACTCAAGAGTGTACTGCTTTGCTTCCAGCTCCAAGGCCTGGGCCTTCCTGTGAAGCTCCTTTCTTTTTGTCTTTCCCAACTGCCTCATGTCTGGCTCACTCAGTTGTTTCTCCAGGAATGCTTTTTCCTGGAGTAACTGGACCTGGACTTCCTGTTTCTTTGCATCTGTCTCAGCTTGGGTTTTCTTCTTCTCCTCCTGTAATATCTGTATTTCTCTCTCCTGTTTCTCTTTTAATAGTGAAACATTCCTCAGTGCCTGCAACTGCTGCTTTAAATTGAATTGGATCTTTTCCTTCTGCAAGAGCTCCCTTTTAAACACTGAAGTTTGTTTCGCATATTTGGAGGCTGATTCTTGCCTCCTTCGTTCAATCTCCTCAGTTTTTTGTAAATAGTTGTTCCACAGCTTTTCAGGCTGCCTTCCATACTCCTCAGTTTTGTTGGTTAGGTATTCCAGGAAGAATTTGTTTTCAGTCTGGACAAGTAACTTTTCAGCGTACAGCTGCCTGGTCTCCTCCTTTAGTAATTCTTGCTGGATTTGAGCTTGTTTTATTTGGTTGTTCAGCTTCATCATTTCCACCACTGTCTTCTCTTTAAACCTCATCTCTGAGTTTCTTAGCTTCTCTGGCTTGAAAAAATTATTTATTAAACTAAGATATGGTGGAGGGGAACTCCTAGAGTCCTTAGCAAACCTGAAGGAAGAACAAGTGAGACATTCCCGCATCAATTCTTAATGAAAATTTAGTAAATACAAAAGCACAATTGTACTTTAATTCATACGAGAAAATATTTTTGAGTACCTATTATGGTTCTGCCACTATGCAAGGCACCAGGGAATACAGCTAGGGGTAAAGATGAATGAGTGTAGTTTACAATTTACAGTACGCATTCACTACAACCCTGTGAGGTATTCCCTCCATTTTAAAGAAGAGAAAACAGGTTCGGAGAATTTAAATGGCTTGGCCACGATTTACACCGCCGCAAGTGGTAGAGTGTGGGTGTGAAACCTAGATTTTAGGATTTACTGAACACTGCAGTAGCTACAAAGGACCACAGGAACAGCCGGGGTGGTCGAGAGTAGCAATACATTTCCCGGCTTTTCCACCACCTTTCCGGTATCCGAGGATACTTCCGTGGAGGGAAGCGCCCCTTCAGTACCTACTTGCTCCAGGAATCCAAGCGTTCATCTCCAAGGTCACGGCGTGGTTCACTGACCGTGACTGCCAAGGAGGGAGCGCGGTTGTCGGGAGCCTGCGACACTTGGAAATGGCGTCCCCTTGCGGAAAGTTTTCGCAATTTCTCCGTTCCGTGCTCCCCGGGTCTCGACGCTGCCCAGCAACCCCCGGGGTCGCACTCCGCCCCAGTCCCTGCCGGTCCAGCCCTGAGCTGCTGAACCTCGTCGGCTGCCGAGTAAGCCCCAGCAGCCGGTTCTCCCGCTCCTTGGGGGCCGAAAGAGAAACGCACTTTCCTCATTTTCGACCCGTGGGGTCCGTGTCTTGGGGATCCCATCTCGTCTCGCCCATCTGGGGACCAGAGCTTTGCTCCTCCCAGACCCTCCCCTATGACGGTGAGTGTCTCTTTTCCTGGCCCTCTCTAGCCCTCCATTTCCCCGCCACTGTCGCTAGTTGGCTGGGAGGCTAGGATGCTCTGGCGCCCGGCCCGCCCCTTCGTCTCCCCCTTTAGCGCTAGTTGGGTTCTATCCTCTCTCGCGGCCCCCGGCGTCGCCTCAGCCTCTCTAGGCACGCAGCGTCTCTATGGTAGAGGGGGCGGAGCCAGGAGAAAGATGGCGGCGCCCGCAGAGGCAGCTGAGTCGCAGGCTTCGGGGGGTACTCGGCCCTCAGTTTGTCTGTTAGTGTTGGGAATGGCGGGATCTGGGAAAACCACCTTTGTACAGGTGACGTACACGGCGCGGGCGTAGTAGGTGCACGCGAGAGGTTGTCAGTGGTGGGCGGAAGGCCAGGGAGAACGGGAGGGAGGTCTCTCGGGCGAGTTGGAGGGGACCCGCGTGTGGCTTTAAGGTACTTGCCAGCAACACCGGTTCCTACTTAGGCTAGCCTTTTTGGACTTTAGCCTGGTTTAATTAGGGCGCTGTTCTTCGCACCCTCAGTTCATATTTGGTACAACTTACCACTTTCTGGAATTGTCTTACCGGTAAAATTGCTGACTCCTCGAAGGCAGAGGCTTACATGTAACTGGCAATTAATACAGTGCTAGCATACAGGCTTTTGGTATAGATTACTAAGAATTTTTTCTTGGCAGCTCTTATGTTTCAAGCACTGGAGATACAGAGATTGAATTTGACGAAGTTCCCGCTTTTGGGAGCTAATATTTTAATGGGAGTGATAGAAAAAAACCTCACACAAATCAGGTAAATAAGTGATCGAGAGTAGGGGAGACTCTCTTAGATGGGTGATAAAGAAGAGGTAGCATTTATGAGAGTTGAATGTTGGAGGTGGATATTGGGGACGAATATTTCAGGTCGAGGGAAATGGAAGTGTAGAAGTCTTCAGGTATGATGGATACAGGAATCTTGGCCCCTTATCATTCCCTCTTTGTCTCACTCCATCCCTCTTCTCATATCTCTGCAGAGGCTTACTGGACATCTACATAGCCAAGGCTCTCCACCTTATGTGATTAATCTGGACCCAGCTGTACATGAAGTACCCTTTCCTGCCAATATTGGTGAGTGAATTGTAAGAACTGTGTAAATTGTGTGAAGTCCCTCAGAAAATGGAAAGCTTCCAGCCCACCAGTCTTTAATGCTTTCATTTTTTTCTTAGTTTTTTTAAAGATTTTATTTATTTATTTGAGAGAGAGAGAAGGAGCAGGGCGAGGGGCAGAGGGAGAGGAAGAAGCAGACTCCCTGATGAGCAGGGAGCCCCATTCCCACTCCATACCAGGACTCTGGGATCATGCCCTGAGCCGAAGGCAGACGCTTAACTGACTGGGCCACCCAGGTGCCCCTCATTTTCATTTTTCTAAACTACTTTCATTTTCCTTGAATTTCCTAGAATCTCTAAACAAGCCTTCTCCCTTATTCACATTTTCTTTGTTTACTCCTTTCCCTAAGTAAGTTTATTTCCTTACCTCTCACTGTTATCTCCCCCCTCTTTCTGACCAGAGAGTATCAGGCTATTGTTATTTGGGATAATGAAGTGACAGTCCTCTCACCTCAAGGTCATAAAACCTTCAGCAGGCTCTGATACATAAACCTGTTTTGTTTAGTTTCTTTTCTCAAAAGTTTAGAGTTTAAGGGTTCTTGTGTGGTAGTTCACTTACTGATCCATAGGAACCTTTCTCCCACTCCCAAAGTTACATGGGAAAATGTGTATATATATGCATATATGCATTGTTTTGGGGAGAGGTTTCCAGTTATCATCAGACTTTCAGAGGATCTGGGACTGTGAAAAAAATTAAGAGTGGATATGATTCACTGTCATGGTTCTTGATAGGATATAGGGGCCTCCTGATTTCCTGGCTGTCACTGTGCTAATCCTCTCCCTCTTTGTCTCTTCTTAATCCTGTTAAGCTGCTTGTACCCCAATCATACTAATAAAGGAAAACCTTGTTAAGAAGCAGAGATCATTTTGGGAAGAGTTTGGGAAAAAGTTGGTATCTCCTCATTTAAAGGATGGACTTCTATCTGTTGATAGATGACTGGATAAAGAAGATGTGGTGGAAAATTACTCAGCCATAAAAAAGAATGAAGTCTTACCATTTGGGACAACATGGATGGACCTAGAGGGTGTTATATTAAGTGAAATAAGCCAAGACAGAGAAAGACAAATGCCTTATGATTTCACTTATATGTGGAACCTAAAAAACAGAGCAGAAACAGACTCATAGATGCAGGAAACAAACTGTTGGTTACCAGAGCAGGGGGGAGTTGGGAGGCGAGTGAAATAGGTGAAGGGGATTAAGAGGTACAAATGTCTAGGTACACTGTAAGTCATGGGGATATAACATACAGCATAGGGAATATAGTCAATAATATAATAACTTTGTATGACAACAGATGATAACCAGACTTATTGTGGAGATCATCTTGAAATATATAAAAATATCGAATCATTATGATGTAAACCTGAAACTAGTAAGATACTATATGTCAGTTACACTAAATTAAAAAAAAAGATGGAATTCTAATAGTTGGTGGGGTCTATAGGCTGGTAGACAGGTTTAGTTAGATATTACTGGATGTATTAATTCCCTTTGAAAAATCATGTCTGCATTACCTTTGTTACCAGTAGGCAGTTAGTAAGAAATAAACTTTTTTCTTGATTTATCTCCCTTTTTCTTTTCTCTTTTCTTTTTATTTTAGTTCCAGTATAGTTAACATACAATGTTTTATTAGTTTCAGGTGTACAATATAGTGATTCAACAATTCTGCATTTTTTTTTAGCTGCCTTTTTCTATGCATATGGTCACTGATAAGGTATTTAATTTGTACAAAACTTTTCTCTTGGGGCGCCTGGGTAGCTCAGTCGGTTAAGTGTCCAACTCTTGGTTTCAGCTCAGATCATGATCTCAGGGTCATGAGATTGAGCCCCGAATTGGGCTCCAGCTCAGTGGGGAGTCTGCTTGAGATTCTTTCCCCTTCCCTCTCCCTCCCTCTCTGCTCCTTCCCCTGCTCATGCACGTGTGCGCACGCTCTCTCTCTCTCTTTCAAATAAGTTAAAAAAAAAAAAAATCTCAAAAAACCCCAAAACCCAGCTTGGCCACATTACTTAAAAAAAAAAAAACTTTTCTCCTTGTCTCAGACCATTTCTACCATAACTTCTGATCTCCTGGCTAACATTTTTCATGGGTTACTTCCCAGTTACCTTTTGTAAGGAAGGAAACCAGTGTGAAACTGGGGGAATTAGTAGAAGAGAATGCAGACAAGAGAAGTCTGAACGGTTGGATTCAGCTTCTTGCTGGGAGAGAAGGTACTTGCAGGGCATCTTCTGCCCTGTTCTTCTCTTCACGATCTTGTTTTTTTTTTCCCCCTGTCACAGTTCAGTGACCTTAGCTTAAAAATTTAGAAAACAGATTTGAAAAGTAACTGAGATACGAAGAGAGAAACTTATTTTTTTTTCCTCAGGGGAAGCAGGGATGACTTGAGAGGCCCATTGGTGGAGGGTCTCAAACTATATTGTTTCTGTTAAATTCCAATGAATTCTTTCTCGCCCCCCCCCCAGATATTCGTGACACTGTGAAGTATAAAGAAGTCATGAAACAGTATCCTTTTCGGCATCTGCCTCGCTGCTGACTCATCCCTGACTAGTTACTGTCTGTTTTTTGTGGCCTTGAGAGTATTTTTGCATTTCTTTGTGAAATATACGAGCAAAAGCATGTAATTGCTTTAAAGTAATTTAATTAGGAGGATGGAAAGATGAATGTGAGCAGAGGTATTATAGGTGATTAGAAATACTGTTTCAGCTTGTGGTTTCAGTTTTCTTACCATCTTCCCAGACTACGGGCTGTTGTAATTGGAGAGCATGGAGAGTGAGAGGCTAGCTGGTGCTGTGCCTGGTCCTATAAAGTAGTGTCGCCTTGGAGGCTACCACCTCCTTTGACACTGGGAAACTCAGAAGCAGGATCAACTCTTAGTACATTGCTGCATGAAATGTGTATTTTCCGTGTAGGTGGGTCTAGGTGGATAGGCTAATTCTAATCAGCAGGTTGATTGACCAGTGAGGATCAGAGCAAGGAGTGTGATATCTTAATGATATTATCAGATGATCTTAATGGCTAATGCTATTAAGCTGTCACTGCCAGATGCATCTGTGTCTTACATTTTGGTCACTTTAATTTCTTCATTTTGCCTCAGCGTCCCCAAAATGATAAAGGAACGAGGATAATGAAAATTCCTTGTGAGGTTAAGGTTGTGTGGTATGTCAAGGATTAGCTGCCAGTATCCATTCATGGAACACTAATGTTATAATGCTGTTTGTGTGAATGATATCCTAAGTGTGAATTTCATCATCTAAGTTGATCTTGAGGATTTAGCTATTTAAATCCTCAACTTAGTGTCCAGGTATGGACTTGGGCCCAATGGTGGTATAGTGACGTCACTCAATCTCTTTGCTACCAGATTTGATCAGGTATGTCTGTCTTTACTTTTATAGGCATGGCTGTGTAAAAACCTGTGACTTTTAAATGCCTTAGCTTGCTCACGTTGAGAAAGAGCAATAAACCTGGATATACATAGAAAATAAGTAAGCATTTTGGTAGACAGAGGAGGTTATGACAGGATGATCAGTGTTGTGAGACACTTCACATTTAACATTGTGACAGCCAATAAAACAAAAATCCAGGTTCTTTTCTTGATCTTGGCTTGTGTCACCTTGAGGATGGAATGGAGGGTTGGGGAGTGGGTGGGCTAGCAGGCATGGAATGGAAAGATAAAGGGGCTTTTTACGTGTGACAAATAATTGTCACTGTTTAAGTTTTTCTCTATCACCTATGTCCATGAGAGTATTTTGTAATCA